CATCATATTTATATCATTAAAACAAATAATTGGGAATAATTTTTTACTTTTTTGTTCCTTTTTGCTCAATAAGCAATAACACCCCAGGATGGTTCAATCTGCTATAGAAACGAAGAAAAAGAACTCTCTCAATTGAGGTTGCTATCCTCACTCTAAAAAGGAGGAACAAATTACATGCCGAATAAACGAGGGGACAGAGGCAACTAAAATGTAACACTCTGCTACTTTTAAACCTGCTGTGGCTCAGAGCTGATCTTTCAGAATTCGAAGAGAGGATTACAGGAAGGAAGAGCACTGGTGTTAGGAGTTCAGAACAAGAGACAAAACAGAACTTCAAACCTGGCTAGAACTTAGTATAGTTTGTCACCAAAAACCCATGGTCCCAGTTTATTACTGTATACCAACCCAACCACATTGGAGAAGTTACGCTCCATATTTTAGAGATAAAATACTAATACTTGGAAGTAGATCTCAATCAAGGTGACGAAGTTATTAATGGCAACATTTAGCTTCAAGATGTGACACTTCCAAGATGGACTGGTCTTTCTCAAAATTTATTATGTGGAAATAATTTTTTTTTCCATTTTAGCGCAGGGCAAAACAAGGGCAATTCATTGAGAAGTAACAAAGATGACGACGGTTGGGGAACCAGCAGTTAGCGTAATGGCTATGTCGCTGGACTCCCACGTAGTCGACCGCGGTTCGTGTCCCAGACCCGGTGGCTTAAAACTCACGCCGGGCGCGTGTGCGTGCGTGCCCAAGATCCCGAGAGGAGAATGGAGGAGAAGGGATTGCGGTGTGACCATCCCCCCTGGGGGGTGATTTCTCGCTTTCTGTCTCTATGTCTCTCTGTCTGTCTGGCAAGCGCACGCGCCCCATAGCAAAAACCTCCCCCCCCCAAAAAAAAAAAAAGATGACGACGGTTCAACATAAAGATGAATGTCCAACTGAAGTCCGTTGTAAAACTCCATTTCCATCACACTATGCTTAAGTCGCAAATCACTGTTTGTTTTCAAGTTCAAATTCACAACTGCACAAACGTTAGTAGGAACTGACTTGGTGATCCTACTTTGGAACTATAGACCTTCAGGAAAAAAGCAACAACCATCCCTAATGGCTTTCCCTTTACCAAGAATAATTCTACTTCTAACATGCGCTGAGAGAAACATAATGTAATTCAAACCTCATGAATTCCCACCAATCTGGAGATGAGGTTCATGAGCATCATTTTCACTTCAAACCTCTCCTTAGAGCTCTCCAGCTGCTTTAGTAGTTTTTCTGCAAAATCTGAAAAAGAAAAAAATCAAAGAAGTACACCGCGGTCCACAGTCTGTACAATACCATCTACGAGGCACAGGGACAGCAGTCCAGTGAAAAGGTTCATGCACCAGCGAGTACACCTTCTATGATGCCCAGTTAGGTCTCAGTGATCCCGCAGTTTTTAGCATCAACATCTAGAATAACAGAGGCTCACTGAATAGCTCTCTAGAGCCTGGCTTCTCAAATGTGCTCCACAGACCAGCAGCAGCTGGCCTACCTGGGAGCTTGTCAGAAATACTGTGTCAGGCCTCAGACCAGCCCTGAGTCAGAACCTACACCATAACAAGCTCCCCAGGTGAACTGCAAGTATGTTACGAGTTTGAGAAACACCGATCTCAAGCAGGGGTCAGAGTGCCACCGTCCATTAGGGTATGGACAGCATTGTGAATGTCAGCCCCTGACAAATCCTTCAGATCCTGCATCCTACACCAGCTCAATAAGAATCCCTGGGGTTAACGGGACCCAAGCAAGAATATAGTTTTATAAATTCCCCAGGTGATGTCAATGAGAACCTAGTTTGAAAACTAGTGTTCTAGGGGCTGGCAGATGGTGTGCTGGTTAAGAGCACTGGACTCCTACATGGCCGACAGTGGTTCAAGTCCTAGACCTGGTGGCTTGCTTTCTCTCTTTCCTTCTCTCTCTCTGGTCAAATTAAAAAAAAATAAATAAAATAAATAAAAGTTCAATAATTCTTTAAAAAAAGAAAACGAGTTCTACAACAGGGTTTCCCAGACTTTTGGTTTCTTAAAAAAAGGACCAACAAAGTTTTCATTTGATCAGTACAATGCCCTAACACTACTGTGTTGTTAAAGACACAGACCTGAGAGGAGCAAGTTCTCCCCATGTTTCCCTTATTTTGCTGTGGACTGAAAATCGTTACTCTAGGACAGCACTCTCAACCTTTTGGGGACCCAGCTCACATGTGCAGTTCACAATGGGGTTCGTGTTCCTGTGAGAATCTAATGCTGCCATCGAACCGTCAGAGGCAGAGCTGCCATCGAACCGTCAGAGGCAGAACTTGGAGCAATGTGAGCAATGGGGAGGGGCTGTAAATATGGATGCAGCTTTGCTCATCATTCTCCAGGTTAAAACCAACCAATAATATCTAGGCATTTACTGACTGACGGTTGATTGCCACACATCTTACATCCCTGACAACCATGAAGGCAGGAGACAAAGAAGGTGGAGACAAGCCCAACGAGACCTTGGGAAGTCATGATTATAATACCTTGGGGATCATGAATCAAGTGAATAGCTGAAAAGTTAAACACCTCCGGTTTTTTCTTCTTCTTTTGTTTCTGAAAGAAAGGAAAAACATTTCCACACCGAATGATGGCTTTGGAATTCAATGGGCTAATGAAAAATAAATAGTTTTAAAAGCCTTTTTTTCAACTAGAAGAACTAAAGTAGCTTTGCCTTTATTAAGGAGACAGCAGATAGCATAGTGGTTAAAGGCACTGGCCTCCTACATGGCTATCTGTGTTTCAAATCTTTGCCCTGGCAGCTTGTTTTCTCTCTCTCTCTCTCTCTCTCTCTCTCTCTCTCTCTCTCTCTCTCACTTATTCACTCTGTCCTTCTCTGGTCTAAATAAAATAAATTAAAAAAAAAAAAAGATTAAACTTGGGCCTATTCGTGGTGCCATAGGATGTAGGGCACTGCTGTGAACACTGGAGTCATTGGGGGGCCTGGTTTCAGTCCTGAACACAAGATTATGCCCAAGTGTGCCAGTAGGGGAAGAACTGTTACATGGTGATATGTTAGCAGGGACACCCCTCTCTCTAAGAAAAAAAGAAAAAAAAAAAAACATAAAAAATTTAGGAACTCGGGTCAGCAGGTGGCGTGGTGGTTAAGGATGCTGGACTCCCACATGACTGACCGTAGTTTGAGTCCTAGACATGGCAGCTTGCTTTCTCTCTCTCTCTCCGTCTGTCCCTCTCTGGTCAAATTAAAATAAACAAGTAAAGTTAAATAAAAAATAATTCTTAGAGAAAAAAATTTAGGGACCAGAAGATGATGTAATGGTCACCTTGCTGGACTCCCATGTAGCTGACAGTGGTTCAAGATCCAGACCTAGTGGCTTAAATCTCATGCCTGGCATGTGTGTGCATGCCCAGAATACCGAGAGAATGGAGGAGAAGGGAGTGCGGCGTGACCATCCTTCTAGGGGGGTGATTTCTTACTTTCAGTCTCTCTGGTAAGCACATATCCCCTACAGCAAAAATTTCTCTCAAGAAAAAAAAAATAAACACACACACACACACACACACACACAATTTAAATATTGGGATGTTCCAGCCATTCGCACCTGAGAGACTTAAACAATTTTATAAATAAAGAGCTGTCTCCATGGTTTGGTGATTAGGGCAGCTGGAACACGTGTGGTTGACTGTGGTTCAAGTCCTGGAACACCGGCTTGAGAAACATGTATGGCATGTGTGTGTGTGCCCAAAATCCTGACAGAAGAGATAAATGGCGAAGGGATTACAGTGTGACCATGCCTCTTTACAGGGTGCTTTCTCCCTCTCTTGCTCTGTCTGTCTCTCTCTGGCAAGTGCATGCACCTTCCCACAAAAACAAAAACCCCAAACATCAGAAAACACATGGGTCCAGCACAACAGCACACACTAGCTGGTAGGCTGAGGAGGGAAAATTGCTATAAAAATCATTCACGGCCAGTGTGGATACCATAGCAAGGTCCTGTCTGAAAGAACAAGGCATGTGCCTGTCATTCAAGCTACTTAGAAGACTGAGGCAGGAAAACTGCTATACAGTAAGACCCTGTCTTAAGAAAAAACAAAACAAAACAAAACATCCCAAAGGGGCCAAATTAAAGATTTTCAGAATAACCATTACAAAATATCAAATGTACTTCACTTCTTTATTTTGAGAAGACGTGTCTAGCAAACATACCCTAATACAAGCCATGATCGAAAAGGTAAAAAAGTGAATAATCAAATTCATGTATTCAAGCCACAGACTTTCTATATTTATTCATTTAAAAAATTAGTGCTTAAAATTCGTCACGTATTTCTAAGTCTTTTGAAATGCTATTTGTTGATTCAAATGAATAAGCTCTTGTTAAAAATTACATACTCTGCAGTGAATTGACTCCTACCTAATTGCCCAGGTACAAGTCTCACCTTGAGCACTTTCATTGCCTTTTCCAACTTCTTCTTGTTTTTGGAGCTTTTCTTCCCTGTGGCGTATTGCACCAGCAGGTCTCTTGCAGTTGGTCCTTCATCCTGAGGAAGAAAGTGCTCTTAAAATTATGGGGCCGGCAGGTGGCATGGTGGTTAAGGATGCTGGAATCCTACAGAGCTGTCTGTGGTTCAAGTCCAGGACCTGGCAGCTTGCTTTCTCATTTTCCCTCTCTTACTCTGTCCCCTCTCTGGTCAAATTTAAATAAATAAATAAATAAATAAATTTAAATAAAATCATTCTTAAAAATAAAAGTACTCTTAAAATTTTAATCAAGAAAAATATTCACAGAAGCAAGGAAGAATCCTTATAGCCACTTTCGGGTTCCTGTACTCTCTGCACTCAGCTAGTACAAATGAATACAACTTTAAAAGTCAAGTTAAAGCCATGCACATACGTGTGCACAGGCACACACAAAGATTTTCACTGCAGCACTGTTTTTTGTTTTTATACTTAGCTTTTGCTTTTTATTAAAGTATGATATAAAGACAGATGTGGGACCAGCAGTTGGCGTAATGGCTAAAGCGCCTGAATCCCACTCAGGTGGACTGTCTCCCATGTAGTCGACTGCGGTTCGAGTCTTGGACCCAGTGGCTTAAACTCACACTGGGCCCGTGTGCATGTGTGATCCCTCCTCCATTCTCCTCTCGGGATTTTGGGCACGCACGCACACATGCCCGGCGTGAGTTTAAGCCACAAGGTCTGGGACTCGAACTGCGATCGACTACATGGGAGTTCAGCGACATAGCCATCATACCAACTGCTGGTCCCGACTTTTTTTTCTTTTAAAGGTACCATGTTATTATTCCCCTCTAAACCTCTATTATGTTGACACTGCCTCAAAAAATATACTGGTGGCAATTTTCATTCTAAATTCACCCAGGAGATAGAGGTATAGCTTTAGAACTAAGAACAAGGCTAAATCAATTTGTTTTATCAATTATTTAACTTCTGAATAAAGTGACAAATTCTAAACAGGATAAAAATCTTGGCATGGCAGAACACAATAAAGGACAAAGGTGGCATAAGTTTCTTTCTAATTCGAGGAGTAAGAGATTTTATAATTTGTATTCAGAGCAGTAATGAAACCTGATAAAGTACAAAATTAAGAAGCAGCTATGATTAAACAAACCTCAGATTCTGAGTCGCTGTCTTGTTTCTCATCTTCATCTTTCCCAAGGAAGAATGTCAAAGCAGCAACTAATATCTAAAGACCAATCATAAAATAGTCAGTTACTTAACTTAACAACAAAAAATACTGCAGTTTATACTTTACATGAGGTCTTCAAAAAAACTGTGCAAAAATGGGTATTATCAAAAAATCTGAGGCGGGGGCAGCATGTGGTGTGGTGGTTAAGATGCTAGACTCCCACATGGCTGTCCATGGTCTGAGTCCCCGAACCAGTGGCTTGAAAATCACCAGGCGTGTGTGCGTGCATGTCCCCAGTCCTGAGAGAATGAAGAAGTGACTGTGGGCGGCCACCTCCCTGGGTACCTTGTCTCTCTCTTTCTTTCTGTTTCTCTCTCTCTCTGGAAGAAAGAAACTTAAAAAAAAACAAAAAAATTTCTGCATGGATTTCAATAATATTTTACACTGAAATAAATTCATACTTTAATTCTATTTTACCATTATCTTTTTGAATTCACCTCGTACATACTGTTGGACTAGGATCCAAAGAAAAACAAGAATGGTGGGGCCTTTGTTCATTTGCATTTACAATATTACGTGTGCCATAAATATGTAATTAACAAATCTTTAAGAGTGTGATGGTTAAAGTGCTGAACTCCCACATGGCTGATTGGACCTGGTAGCTTGCTTTCTCACTTTCCCTCTCTCGCTTTCTCTAGTGAGCACTAACAAATTGAAGTAACAATAAAGTTAAATAAATAATAATAGTAATTTGTTTAGAGAGAGATTTTTGCTATAGGATGCATGCGCTTGCCAGAGAGATAGAAAGTGAGAAATCACTCCCCAGGGGGGTGGCCATGCCGCAATCCCTTCTCCTCCATTCTCCTCTCAGGAGTTTGGATATGCACACACATGCGCCCAGGACTCAAAGTTCAAAAAATTTTTGAACTTTCCTAGTTTTCTCTAAATTTTTTTCTTTTATAGTAAACAAGCAAAAGTCAGTAAGAAAAGCAGAAGACATGAGTTGGGGGCATTGCACAAACCAACCAAGGTTTATCAAACAATTTTTTTGGGGCGGTAGTTGACTATGTGGGAGTCCAGCAACATAACCATTATGCCATCTGCTGGTCCCAATAAATAATAATTAAAAAGAAAAAATCTTTTAACTGGATAAAAACTGCCAGGCTCTATATAATTATCCTTCAAATAGACTGTCAAGAATTTCTACAACCCCCCCGTGAAAAAAAGTGACAGTATATAGCTTTTTAACCGAAAGTCAAACACAGTGTCTTTGAGCTGCCTGAGCTCAATCGAATAAAAGTTAAGAATTATAGGAGAAAACCTAAAGGGCTTTCATTTGTTACACAGCACTTTAAAAATGCATGGCAATTCTGTCTGACTCTCCTAAAGCAAAGATGACTATGGATGTGGTCTACACACAAGAATCACTAAACACCACTCGTGTGTCCACACCCCAGTCCTTCCTCACACACCAACCCTCTCGCCCTCTATCCACAGAAGCGCACCACCTAGAGACAGAGTGTCCACGCAGTACTACTCGCGCTCACCTTGGTGACCTTAGAGAAACATGCAGTTGTGATAACATTGACAGTTTTGGCATCATTCCTGGGGAAAAATGATGAGTAAAAGTTTTATACTACTGTATTTCATAGCATAGATAATAGTAAAAAAATAAATACCATCACAAACATTTCTGACATGTTAGAATTCATAATTGTAATACTTTTTAAAATTACAGGTTGCGGGAACCAGCAGTTAGCGTAATGGCTATGTCGCTGGATTCCCACATAGTCGACCGCGGTTCGTGTCCCGGACCCGGTGGCTTAAAACTCACGCCGGGCGCGTGTGCATGCGTGCCCAAGATCCCGAGAGGAGAATGGAGAAGGGATTGCGGCGTGACCATCCCCCCTGGGGGGGTGATTTCTCGCTTTCTGTCTCTATGTCTCTCTCTGTCTGTCTGGCGAGCGCACGCGCCCTACAGTGAAAATCTCTCCAAAAAAAAAAAAATTACAGGTTGCTAAATTAGTCAGGCATGGGTAGAACATTTAATGAATTTTAGCCCCATCTTACATCAGAAAATTTTCAACCACTAAGATGGAGTTTTTGAAGAATTTTTTTAATAACATAGGGACCTACTCAAGGTAAGCAGGACAAAAACATTGGAAATAAAGTAACTATGGGGCCAGTCCTGCAACATAGTGGTTCAATGCTGGGCAGAGAAAGCTGGATCCCACACATGGCCAATTAGCTTTTGAGTGTCAGCCTTTTTGGCTTGAAAAAATATGCTGGGTGCATGCATGCTCTGGACCTGATGGCAGAGAGAATTAGAAGAAAAACATTGCAGTGTGACCGGGCTGCCTGGAGGGGATGCTTTCTCCACCGCCTGCCTTCATGTAAAGCCAAGCACGCTCTGACATAAAAATAAAAACAGACCAAACCTGTAATACGGGACAATTCCGACAACATTTAAAACTGCACATTAGAGAGTAAGAGAGAACACCATAAAATATTAAAATGATCATGTCTGGATAAAAAATTTTTTTGAACTTTTTTTTTTTTTCCCTCTAAATTTTTTGCTTTTCTAGCAAACAAACAGAAGTCAGTAGGAAAAGCAGAAGACATGAGTTGGGAGCACTGCACAAACCAACCAAGGTTTATGAAACATGATGTTTTAATATGTACCATGAACTGACTCGAGGACCTGTAGAGGAGCAGAGTACAGAGCAGATCATAGAGTCAGACAGATCTGGGTATTGAATTTCAACTCTGCCTCTTACTAGCTAAACTCTTACTTCAGCTCTATGAACACAGTTGTAACGGGTATAATTCTGGATAAGATGCATTTGTTCTTGGAGTGTTCTGAGGCTTGATGAAGTAATATAAAGTCCTAACCTCAACAAGTGCTCAAAAAATGGCAGCCAGTGCTATCAGGCATTTGGATTGCCTTCATACTCTCACAAAAGAGTTCAAGATCAAGAAAAGTATTTGTGTATATGCTTGTTGTTACTTACAAAGGAACTAAAGAGTTGACTGCTCAAAGGACAAAAACATCAATGTGTGTGTGTGTGTATACATCTACCCTTTCATCCTCTATCCACAGAAGCACACCACCCATAGACAGAGTTTATATACATACACACACATATTTATTTATTTATTACCAGATGTTTCTTCTGTAGAGTTCGATCATCACATCCAAAGAGATCTTGGCCGCAGTGGCATTGCTGTCTCTCAGCATGGTGTACATGAAATTCTGCAACACCTGAAGGGA